ATAATGATTTTGAACCAACAGTCAAAAGAGTGCAAGTAAGGAACCATGTGAGAGAGAGAGAGAATAAGAAAGAGAGAGAGAGAGAGAGTGAAAGAATGAGACAGTGAAAGTGTTCTTTATTTGTGTGTGTGTGTATGTGTACGTGTGCGTGCGTGTGTTTATATATATAAAAAAAAAATCAATATAACAAAGATCAACATACTATCTCCCTCCTAACCCACGCCCTGTACCTCGGCGCAACAGGCTCCGTCGTCAGCCAGTTCGCCCAGCAAGAATGTGGTCCTCATGGCCTCGCGGAATGTCCAGAAGCCGCAGCTGTTCTTCAAGGAGAAAGTGAACAACTCGAAGAAGGAGCCCTTTATTCCCATGATCACCGAGAAACCAAACTCCATGAAGCCGTTGTCGATCCTCATTTGCTTGGACGGAACTCAGGAGTAGTGAGTTTAGGACTGTCGTTGTTGTTATTGTTGTTGTTGTTGTTGTTGTTGTTGTTTTTATGGTGATTATTGTTTTTTTTTATTATTATTATTATTTTTATTATTATTATTATTATTATTATTATTATTATTATTATTATTGTTTTTATGGTGATTATTGTTTTTTATTATTATTATTATTTATTTTTTATTATTATTATTGTTTTTATGGTGATTATTCTTTTTGTTTTTTTAATTTTTATTTTTTATTTTTATCATTATTATTGTTGTTATTATTATTATTTACTTATTACTTTTTATATTGTTATTGTTATTATTGTTAGTATGGTTATGGTTCTAGTTGTAGTTTTGGTTTTATTAATTGTATTTTTTTAGAAAATCCAGTCAACTCACTGTTTTTTCTTCTATTCATTATTCCTCTTAGTTATCTTCCTGTCCTTGTTATTTGAATTTGTCATCTAATTCCTATTATTATTCCAGTTCCCTTTTTTTTAAATTACGTTGCTGTTATCTGAGTTTTTTTTTTGTATGATGATTATTCATTTATTTTATTTTATTTTATTTCTTATTATATTTATTTATCTTATTTTATTTCTTATTATATTTATTTATTTTATTTCGTATTTCTTATTATATTTATTTATTTTATTTCGTATTTCTTATTATATTTATTTATTTTATTTTATTTCTTATTATATTTATTTATTTCATTTTATTTCTTATTATATTTATTTATTATTTTGTATTTCTTATTATATTTATTTATTTTGTTTTATCTTTTATTATATTTATTTTATTTTATTTCTTATTATATTTATTTATTTTATTTTATTTCTTATTATATTTATTTATTTTATTTATTATTTCTTATTATATTTATTTATTTTATTTTATATTTTATTATATTTATTTATTTTATTCTATTTCTTATTATATTTATTTAATTTATTTTATTTCTTATTATATTTATTTATTTTATTCTATTTCTTATTATATTTATTTATTTTATTCTATTTCTTATTATATTTATTTATCTTATTTTATTTTTTATTATATTTATTTATTTCATTTATTATTTATTATTATATATATTCATTTTAATTGATTTATTATTATATATATTTATTTCAATTTATTTATTATTATATTTATTTACTCTATTTCGTATTTCTCATTAATTGTATTTCTCCCTCAAATCTTCAGCTACAACCACCCCTACGAGTACGAGCTAAACCACTGGATGCCCGACCCTGCGCAGCTCGAGACGGTGAAGCCCAGACGCCCCAGGCCCCTAGGACAGACCCCCCTGAAGATGGTGACGGAGGTGCATGAGCTGGAGGCCCTGGTCGAGGAACTGAAGACGTGTTCCGAGATCGCGGTCGATTTGGAGGTTGGTTCGGGGGGCGGGGGGGGGGGCCTAGGGTGATGGACTGGTCTGCCGTTGGATTTGGAGGAAGACGAATTTTGTTGGGTGTTTTATTGGGGGGGGGGGGGTATTTGGTATTATGGTGTGTTTTTTGGTGGTTGTCTTTAGTTATATTTTGAAAGAGAGACATAACGTGTGTGTGTGTGTGTGTGTGTGTGTGTGTGTGTGTGTGTGTTTTTAGCATGGTTATATTGTTGTGGAGTTGGAAAAATTGGGTCTTCTTTACATTTGGGAGAAATTGAAATTCAGACGAAGTTGTTCATATGAATAGGTTATGAAAAATCAGGATAAAGGAATGATACTTTTCACAAAGATATTATGAGAAATTCTAGTCTGTAAGTTGAATAAAGCCTTTTTTAAAATAATTTTTTGAAATATCTTTTTATCTAACAACAACCATTTTTCAAAGCATAACTATTAATTGCCCGTCGTTGTGTTCCAGCACCATGCCTTCCGGTCGTATCAGGGACTCACGTGTCTCATCCAGGTGTCAACAAGGACGAAGGACTACCTTATCGACCCCTTGGCTCTAAGGGGCCAGCTCACCATTCTCAACGAGGTGTTCACTAATCCCAAGATTACTAAGGTAGGATTAGAGGTTTTTTCTTTCTTTCTTTCTTTTTCTTTTCTTTTTTTCTTTCTTTTCTTTCTTTCTTCTTTCTTTGTTTTTTATTTATTTCTTCCCTTTTCTTTACTCTCTCTCTCTCTCTCTCTCTCTCTCTCTCTCTCTCTCTCTCTCTCTCTCTCTCTCTCTCTCTCTCTCTCTCTCTCTCTCTCTCTCTCTCTCTCTCTCTCTCTCTCTCTCTCTCACTCTCTCACTCTCTCTCTCTCTCTCTTTCTTTCTTGCTTTCCTTCTTTCTTTCTTTCTTTCTATCATATACTTCTCTTTGATTTGTCCTTTGTCTTGTTAGCCTGTCATTCTTTTCTCTTACTTTTTCTAATTTTTACCCACCCTTTCTATTTTCTATTTTCATTTCTATTCCTCTTTCTGTCCTCCATTCTTCTACATCATAATCATCTTGGTTTTCATCTGCTTCCCCTTCATCCCAATCCCTTTTTTTCTGTCCTCTTCCCTCCTTTTATCTCTCCCTCTACATCTCTCTCTCTCATATACATTTTTCATACAGTAATGATTAAAGTATCATGAATATCCTCTCTAAGAAAAATTACCTTCTGTAAGTATCTCCAGACTTGGATTTCTGTTTGTCCGTGAAATAAACAATCACCCTTGCCCTTCTCATCTTTTTCTTCGTGTTTAGAATATGTTCCCTTTTTATCTGCTTCTATTCTTTCGTCAGGTTTTTCTCCCTTCCTTGATTACAGAAATATATATCTCTTTTTGTCTTTTTTTTCCATATCAAGACTCATTTTCTTCCTCCTCCTCCTTTTCCTCTTCCTCCTCCTCTTCTTTCTCTTCCTCCTCCTCCTCCTCCTCCTCCTCCTCCTCCTCCTCCTCCTCCTCCTCCTCCTCCTCCTCCTTGTTCTTCTGGAATTGCTGTCACCTCTTTCTCTTCCTTTTTCTCTTCTCTTCCACATCCTCTTCCTCTTTATTCAGGTGTCATTTCTTTTTTTTCTTTTTACTTCTGCTCCAGATATGACTCCATCTCTCCCTCTCCCTTTCTCAGGTACTTCACGGGGCAGACTTTGACATCCTGTGGCTCCAGAGGGACTGTGGCGTATATGTCGTCAACATGTTCGACACCCACCAGGCTGCCATAGTCCTGGAATATCCGCACCGTTCCCTGGCTGCGTTACTCTCCAAGTTCTGCGACATTCAAGCAAACAAGGTGTACCAACGAGCCGATTGGAGAATAAGGTACAGTGGGAGGCTCGTAAATTAGAGGTGTTGAACCAGAAGTGTAGGGTAAGTGGTTTGGGATCATGGGGGTGGTCTTGGATAAAACAGCTCTTGTGGGATAAAGGAACTGATATCAAGGTTAGTTATCTAGAATTTAGATAAAGGTTTAGATTTAGTTTTTTCTTCCTATTAAGTTTTAATTTGTTAGTTTTTTCTTAGTATTATTCAAAGTATTGACTTCATTTTAAGAAAGGGTGGGATTTTCTGACATTTTTATGATTTCTTCGAATACAGACATCGTGGAATTAAGGTAAATAGAAATGAGGTATGCCATATTTATACATTCATTTTTTTTTTTTTTTTCTTTTTTTTTTTTTACATATTACTCTTTTTAAAGGCCCCTTCCCGAGGACTTTTTGGAATACGCTCGGCAAGATTCTCACTACCTTCTCTATGTTTACGACCTCATGCGGAACGAGTTGATCGAACGAGGGAACCAGCTGAATAACTTGATCACGGCCGTCTACAGCAGATCGGTAGACATATGTTTAAAAGTAAGTTCTCGTCAATTTTTGTCTGCCTTTTTTCTTATTTTACTTGTGTGTATTCTATGTGTATGCCTTGCTTTTATTTATTTCTTGCTATCCCTGTGTGGTTGTGTAAATTATTGATATTTAAAAAAAGGTCTGTTAGTAAGGAAAAGATACTTCTTTTTATGTAGGTATTGATACTGTGATTGTGAAGTTTTCTTTTTATCTACATATTTACACACTTACATCTATCATTACAGCGCTATGAGAAGCCATTCATAGGACCAGACAGCCACATGGATTTGTACCGTCGAAGCCGCAAAACCTACGACGCGAAACAGATGTACGCGTTGAGGGAACTGTACCTTTGGAGAGACAATGTTGCTCGGGAACAAGATGAAAGTCCAGAGTAAGTGTGTTTTTGCTTTCTCTCTCTCTCTCTCTTCTCTTCTCTTCTCTTCTCTTCTTTTTCTTCTTCTTCTTCTTCTTCTTCTTCTTCTTCTTCTTCTTCTTGTACTTCTACTTCATAAGGATTTATTAGTATTGTTTTTATTCATTTATGTTTGGGAGTCTTTTTTATGAGATATAGGCTGGGAAAAGATTAATTTGAATTTTCAGTTCAAAAGGATAAAAGAATAAGTGCATAAAGTGCTGCAATTATTGCAAAAGATGCCAGAAACTCATTTATATAGCATGCTTGCGAGGAAAGATGCACTCGCAAGAGCATTGCTAAAAAATGAACATGGTTTCCTATAACAAAATTAACATACTGGTAATGTGTACTGGATTGTGTCACTATATGACAGCTGTCAAGTTATTTTTTCTCTGTACATGCAGTGCTAGCTATATATAGACACAGGAAACAACAAAGACCAAGGGGTACATACAAACTTGAGGTTTATATAGTGCAGGATAACACCAAATAAAAATACTGTAAGTTATGAGTCAGCTGGTCTTCATGTACTTGCGTATAGTAGACCCAGCCACACAGAAGGGCTGAGTTTTTCCTTTTTTCTTTTTTTTTTTTCAAGATTAAGTAAGGGTTATAAATCATATAAGAAAAAAAGGGACAGGAGAGGCTAACACTGAGTAGAAACAGGAATTTTGATTTTAAGATGAATGCAAGTGATGCTGGTGATTATTGTAATTTCTTATGAACTTATACCAATAGTGTCATTTATTGTTAGAAGATGAAATCCATGACATATCGTACATGTTTGTGAACCTCCTCCATAATGTAAAAAAAATTTCCTCCCCTGCAGTTACGTTTTGCCAAAGCACATGTTGCTGCAGATTGCTGAGGTGTTGCCCAAGGAGATGCAGGGAGTGCTGGCCTGCTGCAACCCCATCCCGCCCCTTGTCAAGACGGAGCTGCTCACAATGCACACCATCATCAGAGCAGCGAGGGAACAGAAGCTCCTGCCGGTAAGTCCCCGGCAAGTGGTTGTGGGGAGGAGGAAGAAAAAAAAGGATTGTTCTTGTTGCATTTGTGTGTGTGTGTGTTCATTGAGTTTTGGATGCTTATGTAAAAGTGTAGAAGGTAATGATAGATAGGTTTAGACAGACAGATCAGTGTTGATAGGTTTAATCATTGTTGATATTGTAGATAGGCAGGCAAGTACAGACAGATGAATAGATCAAAGTAAATGGGATAACAGATAGACACCATGTTCTCCGTTGATCTTCCCCCCCCCCCCCATTCTCCGCTGATCACCTCCCCCCCCCATTCTCCACAGGTCCTGGAGGAGTCGGTGGAGCAGCAGCTTCCGCAAGTCCAGCTGCAGATGGAGGAGCTGAACACAGGCCTGGTGATCAGCAAGCACGACCTGTCCACAGTGGAGGAGAACCCGACCGACCTGCCCACCCTCCTGAACCCTAGGGAGACCTTGCTCGGCTGATCTCTTTTCGCAGCCCAGGATAGACGTCAGAGTGAAGGAGAAGTCCAGGATGTTCGGCTGCGTGACGGTATGTCCTGTCGAGTGCGGGCGCGGGTTTTTGGTGGTGGTGTGGGTGGTGGTATTTTTTGGTATGGCAGCGATTGGTTCCTTTGTCATTATTTTTTGTTGTTTTTGTTAGTGTTGGAGGTTTCATGGTGTGGATTTATTTTATATGGGAATGATTGATTCCTTTGTCATTATTTTTTGTTGTTTTTGTTAGTGTTGGAGGTTTCATGGTGTGGATTTATTTTATATGGGAATGATTGATTCCTTTGTCATTATTTTTTGTTGTTTTTGTTAGTGTTGGAGGTTTCATGGTGTGGATTTATTTTATATGGGAATGATTGATTCCTTTGTCATTATTTTTTGTTGTTTTTGTTAGTGTTGGAGGTTTCATGGTGTGGATTTATTTTATATGGGAATGATTGATTCCTTTGTCATTATTTTTTGTTGTTTTTGTTAGTGTTGGAGGTTTCATGGTGTGGATTTATTTTATATGGGAATGATTGATTCCTTTGTCATTATTTTTTGTTGTTTTTGTTAGTGTTGGAGGTTTCATGGTGTGGATTTATTTTATATGGGAATGATTGATTCCTTTGTCATTATTTTTTGTTGTTTTTGTTAGTGTTGGAGGTTTCATGGTGTGGATTTATTTTATATGGGAATGATTGATTCCTTTGTCATTATTTTTTGTTGTTTTTGTTAGTGTTGGAGGTTTCATGGTGTGGATTTATTTTATATGGGAATGATTGATTCCTTTGTCATTATTTTTTGTTGTTTTTGTTAGTGTTGGAGGTTTCATGGTGTGGATTTATTTTATATGGGAATGATTGATTCCTTTGTCATTATTTTTTGTTGTTTTTGTTGCAGATTGCTGAGGTGTTGCCCAAGGAGATGCAGGGAGTGCTGGCCTGCTGCAACCCCATCCCGCCCCTTGTCAAGACGGAGCTGCTCACAATGCACACCATCATCAGAGCAGCGAGGGAACAGAAGCTCCTGCCGGTAAGTCCCCGGCAAGTGGTTGTGGGGAGGAGGAAGAAAAAAAGGATTGTTCTTGTTGCATTTGTGTGTGTGTGTGTGTGTGTGTGTGTGTGTGTGTGTGTGTGTGTGTGTGTGTGTGTGTGTGTGTTTTGGCTAGAGTTTTATAGGTCTTGGATTGTGAATTATAGAGTGGGGCACATTTTGTATAATTTTCATGGATGGGACATGAGTTGAAGGGTCTTTGTTAATGGTAGATTGGAGGAGGGCTGATGTTCTTGGTTGGGCGATGCATTAGGAATGTACGTTTTGGTGGTTCATTGAGTTTTGGATGCTTATGTAAAAGTGTAGAAGGTAATGATAGATAGGTTTAGACAGACAGATCAGTGTTGATAGGTTTAATCATTGTTGATATTGTAGATAGGCAGGCAAGTACAGACAGATGAATAGATCAAAGTAAATGGGATAACAGATAGACACCATGTTCTCCGTTGATCTCCCCCCCCCCCCCCCATTCTCCGCTGATCACCTCCCCCCCCCCCATTCTCCACAGGTCCTGGAGGAGTCGGTGGAGCAGCAGCTTCCGCAAGTCCAGCTGCAGATGGAGGAGCTGAACACAGGCCTGGTGATCAGCAAGCACGACCTGTCCACAGTGGAGGAGAACCCGACCGACCTGCCCACCCTCCTGAACCCTAGGGAGACCTTGCTCGGTGATCTCTTTTCGCAGCCCAGGATAGACGTCAGAGTGAAGGAGAAGTCCAGGATGTTCGGCTGCGTGACGGTATGTCCTGTCGAGGTGCGGGCGCGGGTTTTTGGTGGTGGTGTGGGTGGTGGTATTTTTTGGTATGGCAGCGATTGGTTCCTTTGTCATTATTTTTTGTTGTTTTTGTTAGTGTTGGAGGTTTCATGGTGTGGATTTATTTTATATGGGAATGATTGATTCCTTTGTCATTATTTTTTATCATTGTTGTTATTATTGTTGTTGTTGTTGTTGTTGTTGTTGTTGTTATTAGCATTAATAATAAGTATTTTTCATTTATTACTATTTTTGCTATTACCTTTGTGAGTGTTGTCATTGCTAGTATACTTTTTTCTGTTTATCAGAACTCTTTAGCATCATAGGTTACACACAAGAAAGATATAAATATAGTATCTTTTCTCCATTTCTCCTTTCTTCATCATAGGTAACACACAAGAAAGATAAAACATAGTATATTTTCTCCATTTCTCCTTTCTTCATCATAGGTAACACACAAGAAAGATATAAATATAGTATATTTTCTCCATTTCTCCTTTCTGCATCATAGGTAACACACAAGAAAGATAAAACATAGTATCTTTTCTCCATTTCTCCTTTTTTCGTCATAGGTTACACACAAGAAAGATATAAATATAGTATCTTTTCTCCATTTCTCCTTTTTTTCTCTCACTGGCTTTCCTCTCTCCCAGGCCCATTTAAAGCACAAGGACAGCTTGCACCGGGAAATAACAAAGGAGTTTATGAGTCCGTACGAGAGATACACAGCTTACCAGGACCTTAAGCCCCACTTGGACGGAGAGCGGAAGAAGCGAGAAGAGCCGGTCGACGAGGCGCACATTGCTCGGGTAAGTGGGAGCTATGGGGGTTCAGAGGGGTTGATGGGTGTGTGTGTGTGTTTGTGTGTGTGTGTGTGTGTGTGAGTGAGAGAGAGAGAGAGAGAGAGAGAGAGAGAGAGAGAGAGAGAGAGAGAGAGAGAGAGAGAGAGAGATTGTGCCTTTGATACATTTATTTTTATTTATTTTTATTTATTTACTTTTTTTTTATTCAGTAAATATCATAGACAAAATTATAATAAAACAAATATACATTATTATTATTATTTTTTTATTACACAGCTGGAATTTGTAATAATGCACATGTACATGTATTAATAGCATTAAGCAGAAACATGACCAGAAATTCACATTCACACCTCCCCCCTCTCCCCCCTTTTGTAATACCAGGTCAAAAAGCATTTCCTGTGCTTAAGCAACAACACCCCACAAGAGAAATCCGAGGAGGAGGCACAGGTCGTCCACAAGCCGAAGAGACCCCGCCCAGCGAAGGAACAGAAGAAGATAGAAATGAACACCCCAATACTCTTACGGGACGAGGTATGTGTGGTTGTTATGGTTAGTGGGAATACGATGTGTAGAGAAATGCAGTTCGATAGATATATTTGCAAAGGTTTATATATGTATATTTGGCTTTATCTCCTTCTCTTCCTCTTCCCCACCTGCTCATCCCCTTCTCCCTACCCCTCCTCTTCCTCTTTCCCCCTTTTTTGTCTCCCACACCCTCCTCCTTTTCTAGTTCCTTTTCCTCCTCCTCCTTCACAGTTCTCTTGTATATCCACTATTCAATAATTCATTTCTCCAAAAGACTGTCTACCTATTCCCAACCCTCCGTCCCCGACCCGACCCCCCGTCCCCGACCCCCCGTCCCCGACCCCCCCATCTCCAACCCTCCGTCCCCGACCCTCCGTCCCTGACCGTCTGTCCCCAACCCCCCCATCTCCAACCCTCCGTCCCCGACCCTCCGTCCCTGACCCTCTGTCCCCAACCCCCCATCTCCAACCCTCCGTCCCCGACCCTCTGTCCCCAACCCCCCCATCTCCAACCCTCCGTCCCCGACCCTCCGTCCCTGACCCTCTGTCCCCAACCCCCCCATCTCCAACCCTCCGTCCCCGACCCCCCGTCCCCAACCCCCCGTCCCCGACCCTCCGTCACCGACCCTCTGTCCCCGACCCTCTGTCCCCAACCCCCCATCTCCAACCCTCCGTCCCCAACCCCCAGTCCCCGACCCTCCACTTACGTATCTTTCCTTTCTCCTTTCGAGTTGATCCGTCCATCACTTCCTCACTTCTTTCCTCAGATCAAGGAAATGAGAGCGACGAACAGCGCGGCAAAACGCTCGGCGGAGAATGAAGGCGAAGCAGCGGACGGCCAGAATGACGAGTCGCCAAGCAAGAGGCTGAAGGCAGACGAGGCAGATGGAAAGTCTAAAGAGGGAGGGAAGGAAAGGAAAGAGGATAAGAAGGTGGAGGATGAGGGAAAGGAGAAGAAGAAGGAAGAGGAGGAAAAGGAAAAGGGAGAAGAGGAGGAGGAAGGGGCGTGTACGGACTCGGAGATGGAGGAGAAATTAGCCGCAGAGGGGGCATCTTCGGAGGGAGGGGGCGAGGGACATCCCATGCCCTTCGACTACGATAAGGCTGATTACAGCATATTCGAGGGCAAGGTCGGCAAGAAGTTCAAATCCAAACAACAGTACCAGCAGAAGTTTGGAGGGAGGGTAAGTGTTCGATATTTCTCTCTCTCTCTCTCTCTCTCTCTCACTCTCTCTCAATCTCTCTCTCTCTTTCTTTCTTTCTTTCTTTTTTTCTTTCTTTTTCTTTCTTTTTCTTTCTCTCTCTTTCTTTCTTTTTTCTTTCTTTTTTTCTTTCTCTCTCTCTCTCTCTCTCTCTCTCTCTCTCTCTCTCTCTCTCTCTCTCTCTCTCTCTCTCTCTCTCTCTCTCTCTCTCTCTCTCTCTCTGTCTCTCTGTCTCTCTGTCTCTCTGTCTCTCACTCTCTCTCTTTCTTTCTTTCTTTCTTTTTTTCTTTCTGTCTCTCTCTTTCTGTCTCTGTCTCTCTCTTTCTGTCTCTGTCTCTCTCTTTCTCTCTCTCTCTCTCTCTCTCTCTCTCTCTCTCTCTCTCTCTCTCTCTCTCTCTCTCTCTCTCTCTCTCTCTCTCTCTCTCTCTCTCTCTCTCTGTCTCTCTCTCTCTCTCTGTCTCTCACTCTCTCTCTTTCTTTCTTTCTTTTTTTCTTTCTGTCTCTCTCTTTCTGTCTCTGTCTCTCTCTTTCTGTCTCTTTCTGTCTCTTTCTGTCTCTTTCTGTCTCTTTCTGTCTCTCTCTCTCTCTCTCTCTCTCTCTCTCTCTCTCTCTCTCTCTCTCTCTCTCTCTCTCTCTCTCTCTCTCTCTCTCTCTCTCTCTCTGTCTCTCTCTCTGTCTGTCTCTCTCTCTCTCTCTCTCTCTCTCTCTCTCTCTCTCTCTCTCTCTCTCTCTCTCTCTCTCTCTCTCTCTCTCTCTCTCTCTCTCTCTCTCTCTGTTGCTAATTTCCATGAAATATTGTTCTTGAGTGAGCAAATCAATAATAATAAAATAAAAAATCATGCCACTAAAGTCTAGTTTATTGTATTTTATGTTTTATTTATTTTACACCAGAACCAGCAAAGAAAAAGAATCCACGTGGGAAATTCTCATTGTGAAATTTCACAGAATGGTAAATTGATGGATTATTCATAACTTCATAATTTTCTCTGATTCCAGGGCCAAAGGGGTAGAGGCTTCAAGTCGAACATGAAGAGCTTTTCTTTCGGAAGAGGGAAGGCAGGCAGGGGAGGCTCGCGTCGATAATTGTGAATAATATTTTGTCTATGTCTATGTTATCTGTGAGCAATAATGTACTATATATTAGGGTATGTGTTTCTAAAGGTATTGTAAGACCAGTTGCTCAAAAAATGGTTTTATTAAATATTTTGTTAGTTTAGACTTTCATGTATTATATAGATGTCAATATATTCATCTTCATGCACAAGAGTCATAAAATATGTATGTCATATGATATAGCATTGATTATGTTGTAGATGAAAGTTTAAAATTACATAACATTTAATAGGTGTATTTTCAGGTCATTGGCCTGAAAACACCTTTGGACTCACATGCCTTCGTATGTTTTAATTCTTGTCTGAGGAGCCTCCTTTGTAAACAGGAAAATATATATATACAAAAATGGACGAGGTTTTATAAATGAGTAGGAACCTAAATCTTTTGTATCATACTAATTTTGTATTAATTCTTTGTGCATATATGTACAGAGTGATGTCTGTGACTCACTCCCATTTTTATAGTATGCTGTTTTGAGGGACCACTAAGCTTCATTTAAAAAGGGAGAGAGCAAAAGGGTGTGCGATTGCATGCAGGAGAGTGAAAGCGAGAATGAGAGTTAGGGTGAATTTGTGCATGAGCATGATGTGGGAATTTTCTGCCTAATAAACTTGATGGGAGAAATAGTTACATCTGAAAGAGTAATAGGGGTTTTCCTCACCCTCATCTTGATAAGTTCCTCACAAGGGTCATATTGCCTTACAGATAAGTCATTGAAGGTGAAAAGGATAGTGTAAGGGTGAGACTGTTAATGTGAAATCAACAGAACTTATTGCTTATGATTTTGTAATACTATCCTCAAAATCAGTAATATTGACCCCTTGAAGTTCAGATGATTATTTATTATTCCATATATTGAGGTTTTTCTCGGATGCATTGTGGAAATCCCTTTACTAAGTATAGTGAAAAAGACAACATTACCAAGTGGGTTTGTGTTTACTCCTAATACCACTTGTGATTATCCTCGCCTCATAAAACCCAAGTGGATTTTGCTCACTTTTCATAGTACAAAGTGAGTTTTTAATTGCCTCAGTGTGAATTGGATGTGTGTTCCCTTCACAGTACAAAAGTTCAGGTTTCAAGCCTGTATTCATTTTCATTCATTCATGCCTTTTCTTCATTTGATCAGAGAACTCTGTTTAAGCCATCAAACTTAACCATAGTGCATGTAAAAATGGGCATCCAGATGGGCAACAGTGCCAAGTCAGGGGCATCTCACAAACAAAAACATAAATTGGCTAAGGTAAGGCCATGGTAACAAACACCACCATTTTCTGAAGTGAATTTTAAAACAAAGTATCAGAGAGCATTGAGAGGTTCCTTTATCATGCAATAGACACCTACTAAAGGTGATATGATCTTGTAGATGTGCGTGTATATGTATATTTTTTTTATGTAGTATCAGTTCAGAAATAAATCCAGTGCCACGATGTATAATTCATTTATTCATGGTCTTATTTATTTGATGTCTTCAGGTATTGAATACTATTGAATACTCCTTTTCTTTCTCTTTCTTTTTCTCTTTTTCTCTTTCTCTCTTTCTCTCTTTCTTTCTTTCTCTTTCTCTTTCTCTCTCTCTCTCTGTCAAATTAAGAAAAAATGAATCCTTGTTGATTTTGATAATAAAAGCTGCCATTACAGTATTTGTTTTATGTAACTACAAATGATAAATTACATTTATATTTGTGAAACAAAATTACAATGATGATTATGGTTTCTGAAACTTATCAAATCTTTTATCAAGAATTATTTCAGCTTTTGCTTAAATATGTAGCCTCTTGCTAACACTTCATAGTGTAAAAAAAAAAAGAAAAAAGTTTAAGCATTATATTGGGATTAGGTGAATCTGAGTGAAAAAAATTAGCATGATCTGTCCCTCTTCATCTGATCCTCAAATGCAAGTCACAAAATTATATTTTCTTCCAAGGCTAATTCATACTGATTTGATTTGCATGGAACATAAAACCTTCAGTAGGACAGAAAGAATGACCATCATTATACAAGTTTATTTTTGCCTTAGTGATACATAATTAACAAGAAATAAACTAGAATTGTATACACTGAAAAGCAAATACACAATCTCCCACAGGGTCAGACACCCTCCCAGATACTGACAATGGAACACACTTCACGGGGCCAGGGCAAAGACTCTCCGTCATCTTCCTTCAATCTTTCCGTTAAAATGAGTGTTCTGGGTACTGCTACAAGACAGAAATTGTCCTGGACATGTTCTGAGAAGCTTGTGTTTCAATGTTTTAATTTATCAGTTAAGATATTGAAGCGTACAGCAAGGTTTTTAACCCCAAAGCTGGTATTTAAGAGTATTTCATTCACAACCAACAGTTACGTGGGATGGGATAGGGATAGGGGGGTAGGGGAAGAATACATAATCTAATGACGAGATTTTTGTTTCGTTTTTTTAATTCTGGATCACAGGAAGGTCTTACAAAAACCATCTTATTACAGAAGGATCCAGTTTAGTCAAGGGCATCTGTTGTTACTCAGGGTTATAGAATATTAACATAAGATTAGCATTAATTCTTTGCCTTATTTTGCATATTCATACCATTTTTTTCCCCAGTATTTGTTTTTTACCGTGTGCATTTTTGTGCGTGTTTGAGTGTTTGCATACTACGCTCAGTATGCCTTAACAGTTAACACAATAACCGGTTGGAAATGCAGCTTCAACACAACTGAATTACTCAACAGTTAAAGAGGAAAGGATTAATGCCTGCATAAGATGAGGAAGACTTGATATAATAATACGAAGAAGCATGGAGTTAGTTAACACTTTATAGCTATGCATATACCTCTAAATGAATACATATAATTATGATAATGGAATGTTATTTTGACGAATGGAAACAACTTACCAGAAGTATTGTAATGAGTTAATTAAAAGGTGGTATATATATATATATATATATATATATATATATATATATGTATGTATGTATGTATGTATGTATGTATGTATGTATGTATGTATGTATGTATGATATATATATATATATATATATATATATATATATATATATATATATATATATATATATATATATATATATATATATATATATAATTATGTATGATATATATATATATATATATATATATATATATATATATATATATATATATATATATATATATATATATATATATATATCGATGTATGTATTATGTGTATATATCATATATATATATATATATATATATATATATATATATATATATATATATATATATATATATATATATATATGTGTGTGTGTGTACACATAAAGGGATTACTGGGAAACCATTACCATATCCACCTATTGAAACCAAGAAAAGACTTTGTACAATATGTCTGGCATTTCTATCATAACAGAGACCAAATAAAGAGACATTCCTCTCTTTATATCATGTAAGAAACTCAGGTTAAGATTTATTTCACGTAGAGGTGGTTTT